CGAAGAAAGAGGGAAACATCGACATCAATGTGAGACACATTGATTGGTTGCCTCCTGCATGTGCCCCAACCAGGGCTGGGGACTGAGCCTGCAACCAAGGTATGTGCCCTTGACCAGAATCAAACCCAGGACGTTTCAGTCCACAGGCCAACACTCTAACCACTGAGCCAAACCAACTAGTGCTTCTTCTTTTAAAAATTTATTTTAGAGGCCATTTATTAAAGCTGGGGACATAAAACAAGAAAGGGCTGGGGAAATGAGCCTAGGTTGTTCTGTTTGGGCTCACTAAGAAGTCAGAGAAAAGGGGACCTTGGGGACAGGTTCAGAGGGTTTGCTGGAGACAAACTGGCACTGCCCATCGCTGCCCTAGATGCAAACCTCGTGGGGTCCCTTAGAATTAGGAGATGCATGCCTGTGGGGGAAAAAGGGAGGAGGGAGGCACAAGTGTGCTCCAGGGAGGGAGACCATGCACTGGGAACTTCGTTTTTTAGGGAGTTTAAAGGCTGGGCATTTAGGAGAGGTCTTACCAAGAATCAATAGACTATTCATCAGCTTTATCCTGAGATTTATTCTGTCCTTGGGTGTGGTTGGCGAATGGTACTAGTTGGATTTCTGCTGTCTCCCTGAGTAGGAGATTTAAGCTATTTACCCTCTGGTTAGGGAGGGTAAATAGGCAGAAGATCCTCTCCAAGTGGCTCCCTCCAATTTCTCTGCCGAGGTTTTCCTTCTGGCTAGTCACACCCTTGTCACCAAGCTCCAGGTACTCACAGCTGAGACCCTGACAGAGTGACCAACACCCCGTTTTCCCTTCCTCACCACGGCCTCTCACTTATGGACACATGTGCACCACACCTAAGAAGGCTGCCCAAAACTCCAGATGATGCTATCTGGTTCTGACACTCCAGCCCATCCTCCAGGCAATCTCCTACTCCCTGTGTCCACTTCCATCCTCCTTCCTTGTCTGGAGGTACCCAGGGGAGAGGTCTGAGAACACCCACTCTGCCTGCTTTCAAAGTCCCAGCTCTTGCCTCTGTTAGGACCCTAACAGACCTTAACCCCTCTGGGCCTCAGTTTCCTCATCTGTAGACTTTTGGAAGAATAGCAGTTCCTGCCTCATGGTGCCGCTGTGAGAATTAAATGAGTTGCTGTGAGAATTAAATGAGTTGCATTTATAAAGTTTAACACCATGCTGACACCCAGAATAGGCAGGGCACATTTAGTCCTACTGATTATACTTGGACATAAAATTCCCCTTCCCAATCTCACACTGGATCCAGGAAAGGGCTGGTTTTGCTGGGGACCCTGCAGGGCTGGGAGGAGGCTCTTCCTCTTTACTTTTCCAGTTTCCTTTCCTTACTGTGGGGTGGGGTTTCAAGTGCTGCCGCAGGCTTCATGACAAGCCTAGACCTGCTCCCAGGCTGCAGCCTCAATTCAATAGAGCTGAGAGTGGTCAGGAATTCCTTCTCTCTTGTTCTGTGACCTTCTTGGCTCACTAGAAATGGAACTCTGGTGGGGTACCTCAGTTGGTTAGGGCGTCATCCTGACACACCAAGATTGTGCGTTCGATCCTGGACAGGGCACACACAAGAATCAGCCAATGATGCATAAATAAGTGGAACAACAAACTACCTCTCTCTCTCTTCTCTCTCGCCCTCCCTCCCTCCCCCCTTCCCTGCTCT